GCCAAGATTACTTAAATATCTGCCTAACATACCAACTATGAACGCAATATCCGGACACGTACATACTTGGGCATACATTAGACTCCCTATAGCCGAGGCATAAGGAATCTTCTGCATTTCTTGAATTTCAAGATTGTTCTTCGGGCATTGGCTGAGACTAAACTTGCCTTCCTTAGCAACCGGGGTTTCACCTGATTTACAATTTTGCATGCCAAATCTATTGAGTACTTTTTCGATATAGCTCCTTTGTGATAATCCCAGAATACCCCGAGAACGATCTCGGTGTATTTCGATTCCTAATACAAAGGAAGCATCACCAAGATCTTTCATTTCAAAATTCTTTGATAGAAATCTCTTGGTGTCATGCAACAAGTTTATATCGTTTGTGGCAAGCAATATATCATCAACATATAAAACCAAAAATATGTGTTTACTCCCACTGAACTTGTGATACACGTATTCATCAACAACATTAGTTTCAAAACCATACCAAGTGAGAACTTGATGAAATTTGAAGTACCACTGACGAGAAGCTTGTTTGAGTCCATAGATGGATTTAGTCAATTTGCAAACCATATTCTTTGGGTCTCCTGACACAAAGTTTTCTGGCTGCACCATATAAATTGTTTCTTTAATGTCACCATTAAGAAATGTTGTTTTAACATCCATCTGATGCAACTCAAGATCAAAATATGCAACAAGCACCATAATTGTCCTAAAAGAATCTTTTGTAGAAACCGGAGAAAAAGTTTCTTTAAAGTCAATTCCTTCATTTTGAGTAAAGCCTTTGGATACAAGATGTGCCTTATACCTCTCCACATTACCATTTGAATCCCTTTTGGTTTTAAATATTCATTTACAACCTACGGGCTTCGCACCAACTGGTAATGAGACAAGTTCCCAAACTTTATTGTCTTGCATAGACTTATATTCTTCATTCATGGCTTCTATCCACTTATGAGAGTTGGAACTTTCCATGGCTTGACGAAAGTTGATTGGATCATCTTTCGACATTCCATTTTCTACCTCATGTTCCTGGAGATATACTAGATAATCATCCGAAATTGCAAATCTCCTTTCTCTTGTGGATCGCCTTAGTGGCACAGGTTCTTGAGGTTGAGGTTGTAGAGTTTGTTCCTTAGGAACAATTACCTCATCTTGAATGAGGGGTTGAACTATATTGTCTTGAACAACATTTTCTGGTTGAGGATCCGAAGTTACTTCTCGAGCAATGACAAGTATAGGAACCTGTAACTGGTCAAAAGTAGTAATAGGAAGTGGGATTACTCCTGCTTCCTCCTCAAAGACAATGTCTCTTACTGGGTTTCTCCCCTTAAACTCAACATCCTCAAAAAATATTGCAATTCCCATCTCAAATATTGACCTATTTGTGGGATCATAAAACTTGTAACCCCGTGATCGTTCGGCATAGCCAATAAAGTAGCTGCTAACAGTTTTAGAGTCCAATTTTCTTTCATGAGGTTTATAAGGCCTCGCCTTAGCAGGACACCCCCACACATGCAAGTGTTTTAGACTAGGCTTTCGCCCAACCCAAAGCTCATAAGGTGTTTTTGCAGCTGCTTTAGTTGGCACCCGATTTAAGATATAAGATACTGTCTTTAGAGCCTCACCCCAGAGGGACTCTGGTAAAGTAGAATGACTAATCATACTTCTTACCATATCCTTAAGAGTCCGGTTTCGTCTCTCAGATACACCATTCATGCTAGGTGATCCGGGCATGGTGTATTGTGGGACAATTCCACATTCCTTCAGGTATTTTGCAAACGGTCCTGGACGTTGTTCACCTGATCCATCATATCTGCCATAGTATTCACCACCACGGTCAGACCTGACACTTTTTATCCGTTTGTTGAGTTGTAACTCAACTTCGGCCTTAAATTTTTTGAATACGTCCAAAGACTGTGATTTCTCATGGATAAGAAATAGATATCCATATCTGGAATAGTCGTCTATGAATGTGATAAAATATTGTTGACCATTCCAAGACGCCATAGGGAATGGCCCAGAGATGTCCGTATGAATTAATTGTAAGACATCTATAGTCCTATGGGCCCCATATTTCTTCATTTTGGTCAGTTTTCCCTTGATACACTCAACACAGACATCAAAATCTAAAAAATCAAGAGAGTCCAAAATTCCATCAGACACAAGGCGCTCAACTCTAGATTTAGAGATGTGACCTAGGCGTTTGTGCCATAATGAGGCTGAATTTTCCTTAGTTAATTTACGCTTTGTACCTCGTGATTCCATGTGCAAGGTTTCATTATAAGATGCAATAGTTTCTAGCAGATATAGATTATCAAACACATTAAGTAAACCAGTACCAACAACATTTGAATTAATAGACATACTAAACTTCATATTTCCAAAAGAACAACAATATCCCAATTTGTCCAATACAGAAACAGAAATTAAATTCTGTCTAAAGGACAGTACAACAAAAGTGTCTATTAAATCCAAATAATAACCAGTTTTTAGCAATAATCTAAAGTGCCCTATTGCCTGCACTTCTATTGACTTGCCATCACCCACAAAGATGTATCTTTCAGCATCAGTTGGCTTTCAGTAGTTCAGGCAACCCTGCATAGAAACACATATGTGAGTAGTAGCACCAGAATCTACCCACCAAGTGTTTCTTGGTACTGACGCTAAATTTATTTCAGAACGGACCAAAACATAAAATGTACCTTTCTTTACACGCCAGGCGACGTATTTGGCACAATCCTTCTTTCTGTGTCCGGGCTTGCCACAAAAGAAACAAGCATCCTGTAACGCCCTCAAAATAATAGCATTAATCCTATCCATTTAGACATGCATTGATATAAGAAATAAACATTCTTCTATTCATCAGAGTAGATCCTTACAAAAGTATTACATGTTAACAACAAAAGTAAATGCCCTACGGGCTTACAGCTTTCCAAGTTAACACTTGGTTACAAAAAAGAAGAGTGCTAACTCAATACATATTAAGCCCTTGGCTTGAATTTACATGTAATACATCAAAAGAAAGTAAAAAAACAATCTGTCTACCTCTAGCCTCCCAAGCTACGTCCTTAGAGGTGGCATGCTACCGGTACCTGAAAATGATGTCCCATAAAGGGTGAGCCACAGCCCAGCAGAAATACACTAAACCAGCCATGAACAATGACAAAAAGATTAGCAGTTGATAGATGGTCAACACAGATACATCCACTTATATCACATTTTGATTTCATGACGTTAAGTCCATGTTACATTTCATTTCCATGTCTTTTCCAACTTTGAGTTTGAAAACAAGGCTCAACTCCTAGTCAAACAACTTAATGAGGTTTAGACTCATCTTTAAAACACTTTCAAAATTCATGAAGGATACACATTTTAATGTTGTGTCAACATTACATAGATTCACTTCTATACTTTACAATTAATAACGATATACATTTTAGTGCTATATCAAATCAATTCAGACACTTCCATAAGTCTCAAATAATACACATTGTAGTGCTGTATTAATGAAACAAAAACACTTCTAATTCGCAGCTTGATACACATTGTAGTGCTGTATCACTGTCACACAAAATCCGGTTTAGAGGTCCATCCCCTATCTTCCCCTAAACCGTGGAGTACATCCCCCATCTCCTCCTACACAACACATGTATATAAACATAGATCATATACAATCAATCAATACATAGAGTTTATGTATTATTCCACTTGCTATATTCAATAGCATACTCAATCGATTAGTTTTAGTTTGCCTAATCATCATGCAATGTCTATAACAATCAAGACTATCCTCCATCGATAGCCCAAAGCAGTTATTTCTATACTGAAAATAAATGCACTAAATGGATATAGAATCAACATTTAAACTAGGTGAGCGATTAACGAATCTAACTACACCCTTTAATCCCATACAACTCCAATTCCAACATTCTCAACTTAATTCCTCTTTTCTTCAAATTAATTATACCAATTAATTCATCAATGTAATTAGAGCATTTCCCATAATTAACATCACAACCCTAAGGTTCCATTTTTTTTACCAATAGACCAATATTGATCTCATTTCTCTATGCCAAACATGCATATACGTTTATATAAACAAAACCCCAACTTTTGTAAAATTACACAAGGCCCAAACTTTCTCAAAATTACCCAACAACCCCTAACTCACCAAAATGCTAAAATTTAAAGACAAAACTCATGAGAAGGAGTAGGATATCCCTACCTCGAAGTTAGAGCTCAAACGAAGAAGGAAGAGAAAGTGAAAATGCTCTAAACACCACGATTCTCGGATCAAAACGAAGCCCTTGACGATCAACACACTTTTACAAAGACCGAAGGATAGAGAGACACTCTAACTAGATCAAACCCTAGGGAGAAGAGGGTTTCTAGAGAGAGAAGCTCTCAAAATAACTTTTTAGAAAGTAAGAGAGAGAGAGAGAGAATGTAAAAAGTGATTTTAAAAAGCTCAGCTGCCAACTGATATACGACATTCCCGCTCGAGCGTCAAGAACAAAAAACTAGGTACGCTCGAGTGCAAGAAGGCCCGCTCGAGCGCCAAGACACAAGAATAAATTACAACCGCTCGAGCGCGAAAACCAATCCGCTTGAGCGTTGATTTCTCCCTCCCAGAACTTACACCAAAAAGTACTACCCGCTCGAGCGCCATAGTACCCGCTCGAGCGCTACCGCTCGAGCGTAAAGAAACCCGCTCGAGCGTAAAAGTCACACCTGCAGAAGTTTTACAGGGACACGAAAAACTGGGAGTGTACAATATCCGCTCGAGCGCAACAAGGCCCGCTCGAGCGGAACGACCAAAAACCTGGCAACAAGATCTTTAGACCAAGGTTCAACCCACCTGTTCGAAACAAGCCCAACACATCCTAAAACTCAAACGAATGGAATTAAAGGACGACAACAAGATAGATACAACTACCAACTCCACGGAACCGAGTCCGGAATACAACAGAATAGTGAATGGGCAACCGGGATCGCTATACATCCTGCACTTTCTGTTTCTTTGGTTCCGGACCCTTAAGAGCAGCAACTTTCTTTCCCTTATGCTTTCTTTTGCCCATATGCTTGGAGGTGCTTGCCAGATGAGCACTCTCAGTCCTTTCTTGCTTCAATCGCTCTTCCTCTTGCACACAAAATGAAATGAGCTCATTGAGAGTCCATTTCTCCTTCTGGCAGTTATAACTGACCTTAAATTGATTAAATTGTGCAGGAAGAGAGATAAGAACTAAATGCACAAGCAAATCATCAGATAGGTCGAGCTTTAGTGCCTTAAGTTTTGAAGCAAGATGAGACATCTCCATGATGTACTCTCGAACATTACCTTTGCCCTTATACTTCATTGAAATCAAGCTTGCTAGAAGCGTACTTGTTTTAGCCTTATCGTTTTTAGCAAAACGTTTCTGAATTTCCAAAAGAAATTCACTGGCAATGGTAACATCCTCTGTTATTGCACCCCGAAACACTTCTGGAATCCCGCGCTTCATGATCATAAGACTTAGCCTGTTAGAGCGATCCCATTTTTCAAAATACGCAATTTCCTCAGGAGTACTTTGTTCAGTGAGATCATTCATTTTCGGCATTCTTAATGCTAAGTCTATGTCCATGCAACCAAGAACAATCAATATGTTCTCTTTCCAGTCCTTAAAGTTTGTTCCATTTAACATTGGAACATTGTTCATGTTGGCAGATATTGAAGTAGTAGACATTAAAGTTGAATTAAGAATAAAATAAAACGAATAAATAATCATGCTCACATCAAATAATCAAATACATAATCTCTAAATCAAATAATTTTAAGACAACATCTCAAGATAACTAGCACAACATTAATACCAAGCCTTTAGGCAGTGAGATTAATTATAAGCGGTAATCTTGATGTAATGATCTAACGTTGACAATAAGTTATGTCAAATAAAAAATCTATCTTTTGATTGATTTATTATGCACATTAGAGCATCTGCATAATTGTCACATGTTGACCACCACAAATGTGTGTGCAAATCTGCCAAGTATTAACCCTGTCTTTGGACCGTTTAATACCTGCATGATGTACACAGACATTAACATCCAAACATTCCATAAAAATTAATCCAAACAAGATAGGTCACTTTGGCAACATCTTGTTTTAATCGATTTATATTCCGAATGTTAGACAATTGCATAACCGTATAGACTATGTATATATAATTGTAATCAAAATGTTGCAGTTACAATATCTCTAAAAACAAGTAATTTTACACAGGTCGCTTGTGCGCCCAATTAGGCTGCACCGTTAGCCAATCTTCACTGTACTGTGTGAAATTTCTAGCACTGCGTAACAATTTCTAGCACTGTTTACAAGATGTTCAACATTGTTCTAGGCGTAAAAAAGTTCTTAAAACTAGTGTTTAAAAAATTTCAAGATTCAAAACTGTTAACTGAACTATAAATTAAATTTTCCAGAGTGAAACAGTGCCAAAAAATTGTAATAGTTTAACAGAAACAAGAAATAAAACTGATTTAAAACCAAAATAAAACAAACTTTAAAGGCACAAAACATGAATTTTCCAGAAACGTTTTCATGTAAACCCATTAAAACCAAAATCAATATTCTTTCATGCAACTTGTAATAAAGTTTGGCAAACACAAGCACTAATTTAAACAACTACAGAAGACCACGATGATAGGTTGCAATCTGAAATACATACAGTTAACCAGAAAACAGTTTAACACAAAATATTTTTTTTTTTAAGAACCTCAGTGTGTTAAAAACAGAGCATGTTCCAGCCGTATACAATGTTTCATAAAGAAACAATCCGTAAATAAACCAACAATGTCCAGAACCCAAACCAAAGAAATATATATATATATATATATATTTAAAAACACAATGAAACTTAATTGCATGATTTCCAATAATGACCATGATACAACCATGCTCTGATACCACTTGAAGCAGACATAATATAAGAACTTTAAACTCTGATCGTGTACCATGTAAATTATCAAGAAATCAAAACAAAACATAAGTACCCGAATCCATTGTTATAGTTGAACGGAAGCGTGATTGTCTATACATCCTTTGATTTTGCCTTTGTTATTGCCTTCCAATCCTTTCCTTATTAGTGCCTTAAATTTCTTCTTAAGAGGATATAGAAGAAATTGGCAGTTATTCCCTTTTGGCAAGATTAGGGACCATAACAACTTAAGGTTAAATAGGTTTTCAAAAGAAAAAACCGTGTGGCAATTTCTTAAGAGAATGAAAACCAACTTAACCAATTTTGTTTTAATTTCTATTTCTGCCTTTCATAGAAATAGAAATTACTCAACTAGTATCTACACATTAGGTCCATGACACATATACCCTTAAGCCTATTAACTAAATTGAATCACTTAAATTGTAGGCTTTTTATAAATGATAACACCACATTTAAATATGTGGTCCTATTGAGACATTATCTAACACTCCTAAGGTGTAGAGAAAATACAGTAAGCTACATAATTTTGACATAATTACATTATACTCTCATAAAATTTTAATTAATATAACACTTAATCCCATTTTCATCTATTTTTCTAATTATTTTTTACCAATTTTTGAGAAGATCAGTATAATTTACTCAAAAATTTTAAATCCAAAGTAGAATTGCTTTGATAATATAATAGAAGTGACATTAATAAAAAAAAAATTAAAATTATTCATTTGTGTAGCGTTTAATCTTCCTCCACTTAAAGAAACATAGACATAAAAGTCCACTATAAGTTTATATCAATTAGTTAGATCGGAATTGCTCTAAATTTAAATTAGAAAATGTTGGTCAAAAGTTTAAAACTCTTGGCAAAATTTGATAACTTCAAGTTTAGGGTTCAATGCATTACTTTACTTATTAATTTCAAAAAAAGCCACCCAAAAAATTTGTAATGATTAATTAAAGTTCAATGAAATTTGACAAAATTTCTAGATAGATATAAAAAGTGCAAAATTCAATATTTTTAAATTCAGCAAAAATTGAACTTTTTAAAGGCAGTTTCAGGCTTGATAAACTAGCATATCATACACTAAACAACTCATGGGCATATCATTCATTGAACAAAATTAATAAATATTTGAAATTAAGCTATATCATGCAATCGAGAAAATTAATTTTTTTGTGATTGGCCATAAAAGCAAACTTGTCCAAAGCTATGGTTCAAAAACTCATTCAAAAGTTGGCCAAATTTGGTTGCTTTATGGATTTGGATTGGTTTTTTTTTTTTTTTTTCATAAAAAAATATTTGGATTGGTTTTTTTTTTTTTTTTCAAAAAAAAAAATCAGGTGCTTGTTATATATTATAATATTATTTGTCTGTTTGATGGATTTGTATAAATATATAATTAATCATCAAATTAAAATAATAAAAATTCACTAGGGATTGGTTGCTTTAAATAAATTATTTTTTAATCTATACACTATTTATTAAAGGAACTTTAACAAATTATGATTGTGTCAAAATCAAATTTTATTCGAAATAAATTTTTTTAAAATTGACACCTTACCTATGGATAAGCCAAGTTTTATGCTAACAGTTATTAACTTATTATTACTTGGCCTCAGCCTCCATTATATATTAAAAACAAATCCATAATTAACTTATTAAGTAGTAGAAAATTTAATTTAGTTTTAAATTTAAAAAATAAATAAATTTGATTTATTTATCTTCCGAACATATTGTAACTGAGATTTAATTAAGTATAACTTGAGTAACTTGGTTTTGTTTTGTTTTGTTTTGTTTTGTTTGGTTTTTTTTTTTTTTTGGATTTTTTGGGGGGGGGGGATCATTCTAGAATACATTGAAAGCGTAAGGGTATGCATTATATGTAAGTTATGACATTTATCATAACTAAATTTTTTTAGTCATAACTAAAAAAAAAATGAGTTGTCACGAAACATCACACAAAGTATAATTAAAGATCTTTTCGATTATAATAAAAATAATAATTACAGTGAGTTATAACTAACACTACAATAGATTATAATCAAATATTATAAAAGTTATAATTGAGGCATATGGTACACACTCCAAAATAGAGTGTGTATTGTAGAATTTCCCTTTCATATAGTGCACACGACCTTAGATGAGTGTAAAATTTTTATATTATATTTAAACTCAATTTATTTTGGGGATGTACACACAAGTCTTATTTTATATACTTATACTCCATTAAGTCTTAATTAAATTTTTTATACTTTCAAATCTCATTAAATTTTTAATAGTCGAAATTACCCTTCAAATAATTATTGTTCATCAATTGGGATTATCTATAGAGGAGCATAATAATGTGACATTTATTTTGATTTTCAAAACTTTAAAATATCATTTTTTTTAAATTGGAAAAACTAAAAAAAAATGTAAGAAACTAAAAAATTCTATGCAAAACTAAAAAAAAAAAAAAAAAAAACTGAGAAATTTATGTGCAAAACTTGGAAAAAAAAAATTATCTATAAAAAAGCATGATGATGGAACATTGTTGTCCAAAATTGAAAAGAAATAAAAAAACAATTAGTTTTAAAACTGAAAAAAAATTTATAATATTCTTAGTTTTAAAACTGAAAAAAAAAAAATAACAATGTTCTTAATTTTAAAACTAAAAAAAAAATTGAAAAATTACACAGTTTTACTGCATAGTTTCACAAATCGAGAAATTGTCAAATTTCGTATAACTAAAAAATAAAATTTTTATTTCTATAAATTTTATATTCAATATTGATTTTGTTTAATAGATCTCAATGTGTAAACTCCAAAAATATAAATTTTATTAAACATAAATGTGCATAATAAAACTTATGAAATTTTTAAGTTTTAAACAACAAAATCAAAGCAATGAGCTAAGAGAAGTCATCTACTACTCTTGGAGCATGGTCATATGGTGCGCAAAAGAGCTATAATTGCTAGAGGGAGCGGGGCCCATAATTTTGTATTGGGTATGGAGCATAATGTTTGGTAATTAGTGTATAAAATTGTCATGTGGTGCACTTGGAACACTTGATAATTTTTATTAACACTTGATGAATTTTTAATGTCCTAAAAATCGAGAACATCATGGTGATGCAATAATATAGTACAATAGGGTTTAACTAGAGAAAAACACCACATTATATAGATAATTAAGCATGAAACATAAATATTAACAATGAAAGTACAAATAATAATTACAGACAAGAGTTTCAAGTTACTAATTACAGAATGAGTCTCTTTACAAAAAATTAACCAAATACAAAAAGATCTAATCTCTAAGGCAACCACGGTGATCAAGGTCGAATTATACAGCATTGAGGTCGGTAATTAGGATCCCTTAATCTTACTTGCCAGTCAAATTGTATATTTTATGTCTGTTTAATGCCAATCAGATTGGATGTGCGTAGCTTGCTTTTCGTGCTCCTTTCGGATATGATTAGCCCTACAGTTCAAACTCCTGTGGTTCTGAATCTTGTTTCACAAGTGCAATGTGAAATGGAGAAACACAAAAGCGTCGAAATGCGGTAAACCTTTTTAGAAAATCGATCTTGAATTAAATATGTCAAAAATGGATTGCATTGCCAGATTACAAAGTCATTACCTAAATATTTTTAGAAAATTTAGGAAACCTGTGACCCTTGCCAAAGGCCATTAGTCTGTTATCACCAAAGTGTCTCGACTCAGGAACTTAAGTATGAGAGGGGAAGGTCATGAATTGAGCACCCCTCTC